GAATCCAATGTGCACACCTGGCTGTAGGTGCCCGTCCCTATGACGGAACAGGAGACTTCCTCCACATTTCCACTGGCCACGTTGAGCTGGATTTCCTCTGACGCCAGCGCCTCGTAGCTGGGAGCGGAGATGATGATCAGCTGGGAGAGAAGAGGAGAAAAACAACATAACGACGACGACCAGAAAAGCATCATTTAGGCTCTTTGTGCATCCAGTCCTCCATCATCACCTGCGAGGCCTCCAGAGCCACCCTCTGCTCGGGAATCTCGCAGCCCGTCACCACCGACTGCAGAGCTTGATGGTCAAACAGCTCGGTCTGTTCGTGTACCTGCATGGGCGGCGGGACTGGAAGCTCCCCCCCCTTCTCCAGTTCAACCAAGGATGCGGTGATGCACTGGTAATCGTGCCCGGCAGACCTGGTTTCCTCTTCTTCTTCTCCGACTTCCTCCACTTCTCTTTCCCTCCCGTCCTTCCCTCGCCTCAGATCCTCGGTGGCGTCCTCCTCTTCCTCTGCAGGCATGGAGTCCAGCTCCTCCGCAAAGGAGCCCTGCTGCGGCACCATCTCCACCTCCCAATCGGGCCGTCCCGTCAGAGCTGCGTCTCCGGGCGGGGATTCCGTGACGGGGTGGTGGTTTGGCGCTCCGGTTTCTTCCGTCTGGCTCGTGGTCGAACTCTGCTCCTCAAAAACATCTTCTCCGACGTCTGAAACTTCAAGGGAAACGATAATAAAAGGAATTTAAGTTTTGGCAGTTAGCGATCGAACAAAAGTATGAAGCTATTCAGATGTGGCACTGTACCTGTAAACTTTCTATGACACTCCTTTCTTCTCAGCCTGCTCACAGTGCCTTTGGACAGCTGCGCATCTTTACTGGCCGCCATCTCTCCGTCGCTGTCCACATTGGAGCACTCCTCCTGCTCTGAATCACTTGCTCCCCTCAGAGGCGAGTAGAGGTACTGCACAAAGGAGTGATCCGAGTGGCATTGCCAGATGGCAGCGGTGGAGAAGTCGGCCTGGGGCTCCAGGGCTCTGAGCTGGGGCTCGTGGGGGCAGGACCGAGCGTGCTCCTGGTACCAACACACAAGACTCTGGAGGCTAGACACACTCTGCTTCCTGCCTGAGAGAGAGTGAGAGTGATATTCAGCCGATTAGTGATTAGGGGGGGAGAGAAAACACCTCAATAATTCTTTGGAATTGTATAAACAGCTCAAACCAATTTTAAAGTGATAGGTTTTAAAGACAACTTGACATTGGCTTCTGTTAACCGCATTTTATATGGGGCACAGTTTTGTTGAAATAACCACAGAACTTCTGAGAATAGCTTGATAATAGCAGACGTCTCTAAAATCCGAAAATAAACCATTAAATCAGTACCACCAGTACTACCGATGCAACCCTGACACCATGAGAAACCAGCTTTTGCATGGGGCAGTTCTGGGCAACAGGCAGGACACAGCCTGGACAGGTCACCAGTCCATTGCAGGGCAACACAGAGACAAACAACCACATTCACTCCTACGGGCAATCTGGAGTGTCACATATTAAGATGGTTTTTCATTTAAAACAGGCTTAAATGACCTTAGAAAAGTTAAGTCTGTGCCTTTAAAATTAAAATATGATATAGAAACAAACTAAGCCTAGCCAAGCCTAGTGAATCATTACATTAGTGGTTTGAAAAGAAAAGAAAAAAACAAAAGTATCTGGTCAATCTGCTCAAAAACATAAAACTAAACATAATTTTTAAATGTAGAGTTTTGTCCCTTTGTCCATTAAACTTTTTCCTCCTGGAGATTAATAAATTACTTGCTAATTCTAATCCTGATTACAAAAGAAGGACTGAAAAAATTCAGATCATGATAATAATTTATTTAGCTTTGTAAAAGTTCTCTAGTGCACACCAAAACATTTTTAATAATCCTTTCTTCCAACAATAACGATTTTTTTTTTAATTGACTGCAAAGCTGCCTGCATCCTATTTGTTCTTTGTATGTATTCAAAAAAAGAAAAAGCTAGACCACTTTCCCACTAGATACACATGTTCTTATACGAGTCCTAAAAAGTAGCACATACCTCTTTTTTGTTTTTCTGAGAGCTCTGGCACTGTCTTCTTCCTTCAAAGCACGAAAAAAGTGGGGTAAAACAACAACATTTTAAATAAAACTACTTAAATATGCAGTGTCCATTGGAGTAGCTAGTCGCTATTAAAGCATCTCTGTGGAAGTTAAACACTCACTTTTTTTTTTTTTTAGACTGCGCTTTCTTAAATGAAATAGAGTCATCTTTTTTTTCCTACCCGCAGTGTTTTTGCTGGTATTGGTCTCCGTAGGTGGAGTTGAGCAGGATGAGGTACTCTGCCAGCCCGGCATCACTCAGGCTGGTCCGTCTGCGGAGCTCGCTCCACAGCTTGTGGGATTCTCCGAGGTAAACCCTCCGAACGTCGTACTTCTTGCGGGATTCGAGGCGTCTCTGGGCTCGGTCGGAGTCCGTGAGTCTGGGTCGCCCCCTGCAACGCCTCAGAACTCCCTGGTCCACCGTTTGGTCAGCGACCAAGCAACCGTCCGCCGGGCGGTGCGCCATCTTGGCATTAACAGCTGATGTTATTAACCAGCGTTCCGGACGTTGCGTCAACGTCTACAGGAAAGCAACACAAGGTTCCATTATCTGCATGTCCTTGGCACATAAAAAGTTTGTCTGCCAATCTTAAGTAGGGTAAAACTTATAGTTGCACCACATAATATTAAATTGACCGATACAGAGCGATGAAAACGGGCTCAGGTCGGGGGCGGAACCTTACAGTCTTTTCTTTTTTCCAGCCGGACCACGGCGGCGCGAACACTGCTGTGCCACTCGTAAACAGACGCGGGAAAAGTTAAGATTCTGCCCAATTCTTAGACGCTTTTATTAAAGGTGTTCTCGCCGTGTCAGCCATGGCAGACATTTTAACACTCGCGTTTAGGACTTTCGGGTCGCGGACCTGTCAGGGGATAGCCGCCACACCTGGTCCTCCACCGCCGGCGGCCCGCAGCGTGTTGACGGTCGGGGACCGGCGGGTCAGCCGCTCGTTGCTGCTGCTCTCGGCCCTGACCGCCGCCTCAGAGATGGGGATCAGAGTGGTCTTTTTCGCCCAAACACAAATCAAGAGCCTTCCGGTGTCACTGCAGAGATGTGTCCCCAGTCTGAGCCCAGAAAGTCTAAAGGTAGAGCTCTCTCATACACATTACTTCCCGATTGATAAAACTGTCTGAACCAATGGCAGTTGAGCTAATCGTAAATATCAAACAGCTTATTTTATACCTGATGCTTTATTTAGAATCTGACTACCTGTTCATAAAACACATGTTCCCATCCCGCTGAGCCCCGATTGTCACCAAACATAGATTATTGTTAACCATTGCTCAATGACACATAGCCATGTTTAAAGGCAAGGGAGGTTGTCGTTCAATTTAAAGGTTCTAGGCCAAAATAAAGAGGACCTGGAACAGGTTTTAAGGTGGAAATAGTTCACAGCAACACTGCACAAGTAGTGTGCCCTTGCTTTTTTTCACACATATAAATAGGGTAAGTTGCAGCCAGATGCTTCTGATGAAATTTCCTTGACTAAATTATTATTAACATGTTCATGTTCTCTGACCATACAAAACTAAGTCTGGGTCATTTTGAGGAATGGCTGAGGTGGTACTTAAAGATAGTTATGTAGTGCTACCTACAATAAAGGTGACAAAACAGCGAGCAGCACTTTACCAAACTGTGTTGTTCCATGTAGTGGAAAGGTGACAAATGTGAGGACAACTGCCCGACAGCTATAGTCGGGCTGAAATTAGGTTATTAACTGGATAATGATCCCAAAAGCAGCAGGAAATGTACAACAGAATAACTAAAAGAGAAAAGAATGAAAGACCAATTAAAGTTTAGACCCCAGCCCCAGCCTTACTAATATTTTTTTTAAAGCCAGTGGAACCTTACGTGAACTGTGCTGAATCAATAAATACTGCAACCTTCAATAAATTGAAGCAACATTGTAAAGATGGGGGACAAAAGTTTTGTTTGGATGGACGCTGCTTGATTCTTTGTTCAGTGGATGATGTCACTGTTACACAAGGTGCGTCGTTTGTCTGAATTTGTATTTGGCTCATTTTTAGACTTGGCAAAGAGAAGGTCACAGCCATTTTTTGGGTCATGTTTTGTTGCATAATACACTAGAAAGATTAAGCACTTACTTTTTTTCCCCCTTTACTGTGGTTGTGTGTTTTACAGTTGCACATAACTTTATGACTTAGAAGTGGACTTTAGTTCATTATCACTAAAATCTGATTTCCTCTTTTATTTTTCTGGAGAAAATCACATTCACCTATCCTCGGACTTTTGAAGAGCTGCTTCAGCACGTCGCCGGCCTGCACGAGTCGCCCACGCCCCCCTCCCTCATCATCGTCGACAGACTGGAGGACTTCCTGCGTGGCCCTGCGGCTGGCGCCCACAGTGGCGCCTATGGCGGCTTCCAGTGGGGGCAGCAGCCGTCCGGCGCCGCGCGCCTGGCCGCACTGCTCTGCGACACCTCAGCTTTTCTCAGTTGTGGGGGCTCCGGCTCAGCCCCCTGCCGCCTCATCGCCTCCTTCCTGTCGGACGCCGACGGCGGCGGGCAAGATGGCGGGGATTCCTCGGCCACGGATCCCACCCTGGACGTCCTCGACCGCTACTTTCAGGCCCGCTGCACGCTGGACCAGGACAGAGGCTACGCAGCTACAGGGGCCGCCGCGGAGGAGGCCTGGAACATTTACCTTTCTGAGAGAGGAGCCACAGAGTTCTTCTCGGAAAAAGAAGTAAAGACACATGGAACACAAGAGTGGCAGCTCTTTATTTTTCCTGATAGTTCGATGGAGTTCAAGTTGGCTTCAACTTAAACTCCATTGGCTGTTGATGATTCCTCCTACATCTTCTGTTTCAGTGCTTTATGACAAAAAACCTTGTTCAGTTATTCTTTAAGATTGTAACATCAGTTGTGAATGTAAAACATGTAATGAACTTGATTTACAAGTAACATGGTGTAAAGCCGTGATCCACGTGTGAATAAAAGATTGTATTTCCATTGATTGTCATTAACTGAATAACAATGTCCAACACGGTTGGTGTGGTGCTCATTAACAAAGACAAAGAGTGTTTTCGACACTACTCTAAAGGAAATAACAGCTAAAAAGCATAAACAGTATACTGTATTACGAGACTAAATTGTTAAGCTAATTCCCCTCTTCTATTTTTCAGCTTGTTTAAAAGTCTGAGGAGGTCTAAATGTGTGTGTGGATAAATTGAGCAAAGGAACACGGAAATCTACATGTGCATTCATCCTGCAGCCATCATTAATGTATTCTGCAAGCATATAGTGAAATAAACTGATGATCACCAGTTTTAAAAGGCTTATTGGCTGTTGAACCAAAGCTGTCTTCACCGTGATGAAGACAGTCAAAATGACCCACCTGTTTTTTTAGAATATATCAACAATACTTATACCATATATTTGATGGAATGAGGAACGTGAAAATGGTACTCTTTGTTTTTTTATTGTATAAGTTTCAAGAAATACAAAATTGAAAAGTTCATTTCGGCAAGGAGGTAGTCATTATTTCAGCATGACAAAGATAACATTTGAATATGTAGAAAGATATAAAAATATATTGTTGATGTACATAAAGTATGTCTATGTAAAAAGGAAAAGAATATTAGACGGAAAAAGACAGAAAGAAAGTTGTTTTTGATAGATATTTCTTTCAATAATGTATCACGTTTTGCTTAAGAAAAACTTATATATGAATACACTATATATGAATACACTCGTATTTACAATGTCAACAGATCAAAATTTTCCCACACCATAAAAGCAGAAAAAAAGCAAAACCTCTACTCAGTTTGATTTAACGCATAAGAGCCCAGACCCATTTTTTTCTAAAAATATTCTTTTTAGAAAAAATCTTTTTCAGATCAGATCACAGATTTTTTTAAAACCCAAAAAACAAAAGATACATTTAAGATACAAAATATGCATTTAAGTTCAAATTGTTTGTTACATCTTTGTACTTATGGGTAAAAAAAAAGTAAGAAGATCTGGTAAACCTTTCATAGAAATGTGATCCGTGTTGTACTCTAGGTGGCAGTGTCACCTCAGGAGAAAACCAAATGCACTTAAACATCATTCACCCATCTTCTACACCGCTTTTTCTTTGTAGGGCTGCTGTCCGTGGAAGAAAGTCAGGGTACACCCTGGACAGGTCCCCAGTTCACCTCAGGACCCCAATGAGACGAACAAGACATACAAGCAAACACACTTACACTCTCCCCCTATGGGAAATTTAAAGTAACCAATGGTCTTAACATGCATGTTTTTGGATGGTGGAGGGAAGCAAGAGTACCCAGAGAGGACCCACACATACACGGGGAGAACATGGAAACTCCACACAGAAAAGCCCTTTACTTAACCAGAGAACAGACATTGCCTTAAAGCCTTGCAGCACAGCCTACAGTAATACTATTTCGATTTGACTCAACAATAATCCTGTGATAAAAATGAAAACAAATGTTGACTAAACTCTAAAACAAGTGTGACAATTTTTTTTTAAAGAACTTTACATTATTTACACATACAGTGTACTTTCAGAATTAAAACTGACATTGACATGACTGTTGGAGGGTGTGTGTGTCTGCGTGTATGAATGGGGGTACTGGAATAAAATGGTTGCTATTTTACAATTGGCTAAAGTCAACAAACCCCATGACGACTAAAATCAGTGAGTACTTCCATCTGTACTTACTCAGCCTGTACCATGATATTGGAACACTACATTTGTTCATCCCCAGTTAATAAAATACATTCTTAAAACAAATACATGCAGTTGCAAATACTTTAAAGTTTAGTTTTAGAGTTGCATTTGGTGAGGGTTTCTCGCCAGTTATGGATTTACACAAATTCTGGCATGATTATCACAAAGACATATTACTTTGTTATGTTAAAATTAATACTATATTTATTGGACCAGCTTTAGATTTTAACAGCCAAAAACATAGCAGTGCTAGCCATCGAGCACTTGTATCTAAGCACAGTATTTAAGTGCTAACAGACGATTTAGGCAAGTAGCCTCAAAAACATTAGCGTTGCCATTGGGTTGACGTTCATGTTGACCGAACGAACTGTTGCTAGCATGATTGTGTATGCTTTTAATTCTTGTTTGACAGACATGCAAATGTTTGAGAAATATGCTAGGCTACTCTATGTTAAGTTTTAGATAAAAGTAAGGTGTTGTAAAAAGTTTTTTTTAGTCTTGAAATAGAATTGGCTGACAATATGAAAAAATAGAAACAGTGAAAAAAGTATTTTCCTGTACTATTAACAGTTTTAATTTCGGGTGTCTGTTGTGTATTTGACCTACATTACCAATTTGTCAGTTAAGCTAAAACGTTAGCATAGTTGGCTCAAATTTGAATACATCACTGTAAAAAACACTAAGGGTTTGTTCACACCACTCAGATTGACAACTAGCCTAAAATGCAGGATAAAATACTCTTGGATGAGCAATGAGGCTGCTGAATATCAGTATTCTGTGAAAATCACAGCTTACAATTCCTGGTTTGTGTCCTCAGAAACA